TCATGGCTATCTAAATAGCTCCTGAGATATGATTTTTCTCTGGGCCCCCTAGCTGTGCAGGTAAAGGCACAAGAGAATCTGATGCACAGTGCATACAATCGCACTTCCTGCCATGCCACATATGTATGGCAGGAAGTGTGACTGTGGGATTGCAAAATAAATCCCATCAACCCTTACTGCTGGTGTAGGGGGAACTTGGCATCACAATCCCAGGCTCCCCCTGCACTGGCAAGTTGAGATTCCTGCAGCTGGGGGGGTCTCCTCAGCTGACAGTGTTCCCAGCCGAATGCATCAGGTGTCCCTGTGGCTAGGAAACTGCGGCTGATGCAGGCTTCCAGCCATGGACTCTCCATGCACCCCAACAGCTGGGAGACCCAAGGCCTGGGGCACACTTGGGCTACAGGGGTCCCTGGCCATACATTCAATTAGTGGCATGATAGTAAGGAGCCCCCAAAATTATTACACATATTTTGTGTAATTGGGTAATCATGTCTTAAACATAACATGTAGATGGGGCCTAAGACACCAAAGCACAAGACTGAGGCCACACACCATTGATCATACAGAATAGGATACTGCTTTGGAAAACTGTTCATGGCCCTTTTACACAAGGGTTTTTTTTGTCCATGCCAGAACTAGGCTGTCCCTTGCAAGTAACATGGCTGTGGGGGGTCCTACTTCCTTAGACACTAAATTCAACTCGTCTTTAAAATTATCAGAGTTGTAACCCAACTGCTACATGTCAGTGTTTTTAAAAAAGCAAAAATACTTTTCTAGTCATGTCCCAAGGCTCACCATACTACATGAGTAGGGTAAGCTTTGCTCATCTACATGCCTTTCTGAAGAACCGTTGGCTGAACAACTGAACTGATCTGCCTTGGCATTCTGCTGTTTTTTCAAGCCTGTTTACCTACAGATGTGCCTGTGTCATCTGTTGCAGGTGGTGGAACCAGTGTCATAGATTCATAGATGTAGCGTTAGAAGGGACCTAAGTAGATCTTCAAGTCCAGCCCCCTGCCCTGGGCAAGAGAATACTGGGCTAGGTAATTATCAAGCCTCCTCTTAAAGACCCCCAAGGTAGGAGCCAGCACCACTTCCCTTGGAAGTTGGTTCCAGATCCTGGCTGCCCTGACTGTGAAGTAGCGCCTTCTAATATCCAGCCTGAACTTACTCTCAAACAACTTGTGGCCATTATTCCTTGTTACGCTGGGAGGCGCTCGGGGAAACAGGGTCTCTCCCATTCCCCACTGGTCCCCCCTGGTAAGTTTATAGACAGCCACGAGGTCCCCTTTCAGCCTTCTCTTGTGAAGGCTGAACAGGTTCAGGTCCCATAGCCTCTCCTCATAGGGTCTGCCCTGCTGTCCCCGGATCGTGCGAGTGGACCCTCTCAATGCTGGCCACATCTCTCCTAAAGTGCGGCATCCAGAACTGGATGCAGTACTCCAACTGTGGCCTGACCAGTGTTGCATAGAGGGGGAGAATCACCTTGGCCCTGCTTGTGATGCATTTGTGGATGCATGACAAGGTGCAGCTGGCCTTACTGGCTGCGTCCCCAGTTGGTGGCCTATGTTCATTTTAGAATTGATAACGACTCCAAGATCTCTTTCTGCCACTGTGCTTTCGAGAAGGTAGTTCCTCAGCCTATAGGTATGCTGCTGGTTCCTACTGCCTGAGTGCAGTACCCTGCACTTGTCAGTATTGAATCCCATCCTATTCTCATTCGCCCACCCGTGTAACCTGTCCAGGTCCAGTTGTATCTTGTCCCTCCCTTCTAGTGTGCCCACCTCGCCCCAAATCTTGGTGTCGTCAGCAAATTTGAACAGGGTGCTTTTCACCCCCTCATCCAAGTTGCTAATAAAGAAATTGAACAGTGCAGGCCTGAGGACCAAGCCCTGGGGGACTCCACTGTCCACATCCCTCCAGGTCGAAAATGACCCATCCACCACCACTCTCTGGGTGTGGCCCCTCCGCCAATTTGTGACCCATATCTTGTCCCTCCCTTCTAGTGTGCCCACCTCGCCCCAAATCTTGGTGTCGTCAGCAAATTTGAACAGGGTGCTTTTCACCCCCTCATCCAAGTTGCTAATAAAGAAATTGAACAGTGCAGGCCTGAGGACCAAGCCCTGGGGGACTCCACTGTCCACATCCCTCCAGGTCGAAAATGACCCATCCACCACCACTCTCTGGGTGTGGCCCCTCAGCCAATTTGTGACCCATCTGACTGTGTAGGCATCAATGCCACAGTCGCCTAGCTTTTTAATGAGAATGGGGTGAGACGACAGCGTCAAAGTCCTTCCTCCCTGCTGGTTCCTCGCAGATGTGCTCCTGGATAATCTTCTCAAAGAACTTCCCCAGACCGAGGTAAGACTAACGGGCCTGTAGTTGCCCAGGTCCTCTCTCCTCCCTTTTTTGAAAATGGGGACCACATTTGCCTTCTTCCAGTCTTCTGGCACTTGGCCAGAGCACCATGAGTGCTTGTAAAGCTGTGCCAGGGGCCCCACAATATCTCCTGCCAATTCCCTCAGCACCCTTGGGTGGAGAGCATCTGGACCTGCTGATTTGAACACGTTCAGCCCCTCCAGAAGTTCCCTAACTTGGTCTTCCCTGATCCTAGGCCTGGCGGAGTCTCTCCTGAGTCTATCCTGAATCTCGGTGGGGAGCGGTCCCTGCACAAAAAAATGGAGGCAAAGAAATTGTTAAAAAGGTCTGCCTTTTCCTCTGCTGCAACCACCAGCTTGCCAAGCGTATCCCGCAGGGGCCCCATGTTACCCAGTGCCTTCTTCATAACGCCCTATGTATTTAAAAAAGGACTTTTTGTTGTCCTTTATGCTAGCCCTAGTTCTGTATCTGCCTTAGCTTTCCTAACAGCCCCCCCTACAAACCCGAGCAATGGAGGTATACACTTCTTTGGTGTCATTCACGCAAACAATTTTTTGCACATAAGTTCTCCATCTATGTTTTGGTTTAGAGGGGAGAATGGGAAGGAGCTAGTAGTACAACATCTAGTGCCACTAAGTAAAGTAAAAACCACAATTTGGTCACATGTTAGTAAGTATGAGTTCACAGGTGGACAAAGCCTACTACAGGTACCTGTTGAAGGGCTAAATAAAAAATAAATGTCCACCAATTTGAAGCCCAATGACAGCACCCACTTGTTTGTTTTAGGTTGCAGGCACTTCATGGGTATAATTCTGTTACCTCTAGTATATATATGTGCACTTGATTTTCTGTGGGAAGGCAGGAAAGGGGGCAGAAGGAAGTACTCTTGTTCCTCTGGCTTGCATGGCAAATTTCAGAATAAACTGGCACCATCCTCTCTTAGTAGGTATAAATGAAGCACATATTAATTAGCAAAATTACTAAAAGGCAGTGAGTTAGAAACAAAGATGCATGCTAATGGTTTAGGATCACCACCAGAGGACAGTATAAGCAAGCGAGTTTCTAATGCATCAAGGCACAGTAGTCTGGTAGTTCTGTGTTGACTTTTAAGTTCAGACTCCAAATGTCTGGGGAAAAGTCTCACCATCATTGATGGTTCTCAGCTCGAGGCATACCCATATGGTGGGTGGGCTCGCATGTGTGCATGCTTGCATGTGATATCTACTTTACCATAACTAACCCAGCAGCTATTCCAGAAATTCCACTATTACAGATGGTGAAGGACAAAGATTCATTTGCTAATCAGCACAAATGCCAGAAATCTTGAGATAGTCCAAAACTGATAACCAGAAAGGGAATGAATAATCCAGGAATTAATGTAATTTAGGTGAAGGACCCTGCTTGAATCTTAAAACATACTTTGAGTTGTGTCTAGGACAGGAACAAAGGTCTGAGCAAGAACACCAAGCTTTGGTCCCTAGAGGTTTTTGTTGCTTTGCAGTGTCAAAACTCTGTTACCT